AAGATGGAGAGAGGAGGAGAGAGGATTTGATTTCAACAGCTGTCTATCTTACCCCTGGTGAGGGTTCCCTCTACCACTGAGCATATTTATCTTGACAGCTCTTTTAGTCAGATTCTCAGTCTCAGTGTTTTGACAGGCAATATTGAAGTTGTTCTTTTTATCAAAAAGAACATGGAGAATGATCCAAAAAGAACAAGGAGTAAGCAGTAGTGTCTTCAGTCACAGTTATTCACACCTTTCCATAGAGAATTTTTGATCTCTCAGTTCTCAGAAAAGGCTCGACTTGGGAAATTGCTCTTCCCTGTGCTGGCCAAGATTAGAGTATTTCTTATTCCAATCCTAAATTCATGCAGTTTAAGAAAAAGTATATGCCGAGTTAATTTAAAAAAGACCTCTAATGAAAACACCTCAACCTCATATGCCAAAAGCATGATGTTAAAAATATATCTGCAGCTTCCATCTGGATATCAGAGGTAATTTTTTTTTAATGGGAGAAACTGTTTCCCCCTGAAGAGCCATATTTTGCTACGTTTCAAGAAGAGAATGTAAAATCCAATGACTGTCAAGGCTTAGGTATTTGAAATTGAGATTTGACAGTGATATCCTGAGATTTGATAGTGAGATTCTGATGTTACATGCATTGCAAATGTCATGCTGCAAAAGGATTGCCACATTGTTGTATTATGATGTTTTTGCTTTATTGCCTTTTTGCTATTTGCTCACAAGGGATGAATACACTGAGACAAGATGAAAGCACTAAAAAATAGTGCAGCTGAAGCTGACAGTTGACAGCTCAGGGCAGTGACTTCCTGGGATGAGAAAGATTTATGCTTTTTCTTCTTGTGAGTTTATTTGCAGCTAAGATATACTAAGGATTAGTTAGATTTAAATATTAGGTGTCCAGCATCCTAATGGATCATCCTGGTAATGTCTCCCACAAAGGGATATGTTGGCTCTTTTGAACATTCAGTGAGACCTTAATCCTCTGTGTTCTTCTGGAAGGACCTCTGAATGTCCTTGGTGAAGTTTGTTTAGGTTAGTGAGTTCACTCTTTCTTGTCTTTAGTCACTGCAGATACTCCTTTAATCTCAATACACTCTACTTAGGAGTTGTAATTTGCCTTACATGAACCCAAATACCATCCTGTATTGGACAAAAATGTCATCTAAAGAGAGAATCTTGGTCAGCAGGATACCAACAGAGTTTAGGTGTTGAGGTTCAAAATTAGGTATCTGTCAGTTATATACCTGATATATTTGAGATCCATAGTCACTTAGATTTTCACCTCCAGAGATATTGAGAAACTTCTTGATTATGCTTAGATGAACTTCAAAATGAGACTGAGGATTTTTTTGGTAAGGGTATATGCTTTTTGGAGATTTCTGCTCCTGCTGTAGAGATTGTTTATGTATTTTGTATCGAGTGATAAATAGAATATGTTTCTTTTCAGGGAAAAATAATTTTTCTCTGATCTAATCATTATATTATAATTTATGTGTTTTCTTTCTTTTTCGTCCACTGAATCTTGAATTTTTCCCTATAGCTCAGACACATTTGGTAGGAATAAGGACTACTTTCTAGAGGTTTTTATAGGGTAAGAGAAGGTTTTCAACCCAAGTCTGTCATCATCCAGAATTCAAAGAATGGTAGAATGCTGAGTTATAAGAGACCAGGATCATTGAGTCCAGTTCCTGGCCGTGCACAGGATACCCCAAGAGTCACAGCATGTACCCAAGAGTGTTGTCCAGACACCTCTTAAACTCTGTCAGTTTGGTGCTGTGACCACTTCCCTGGGGAGCCCATTCCAGTGCTCAGTCACCCTTTGGGTGAAAAACCTTTTCCTCATATCCAACCTAAACTTCCCATGACTCAGCTTCAGGCCATTCCCTTGGGTCCTGTCACTGGTCATGAGTGTGAAGAGATTGGTACCTGCCCCTCTGCTTCCCGACATGAGGAAATTCTAGACTGCAAGGAGGCCTCCCCTCAGTCTCCTCTCTCCTCTAGGCTGAACAGACCGAGTGATCTGAGCCGCTCCTCATACAGCTTCCCATCAAGGCCCTTCACCTTAATAGCTTAAAATCCTTTTTATACTGTGGCACCCCAAACTGCCCCCAGCACTGGAGGTGAGGCCACCCCAACTCAGAGCAGAGCAGGACAATCCCCTCCCTTGTCCAGCTGGCCATGCTGTGCCTGATGCCCCCCAGGACAGGATTGGCTCTCCTGGCTGCCAGGGCACTGCTGGCTTGTGTTCAACTTGCCATTTTTCTGCAGCACTGCTCCCAGCCCCTCATTCTGTACACACAGCCAGCATTGCCCTGTCCCAGGTGCAGAATCTGGCACAGCTTCTCCCAGTTTAGTGTCATTGGCAAGCTTACTATTCCTTGGAGTTCTACATCCAGGTTGTTTATGAAGATGTTGAAGAGCACAGGGTCTAGGATGGAGCCCTGCAGAATCGCACTGGTGACCGGATGTCAGCCTGGTGTAACCCCTTCACTATACCCCTTTGTGCCTGACCCATGAGCCAGTTGCTCACCCATGATGTATGGATGTATACTGGATATTTTGTCCAGAAGGATACTGTGAGAGACAGTATTGAAAGCTTCACTGAAGCCCAAAAGGGCTGCATCTACTGGCTTTCCTGGTGGATGAGTTACTCTTTGAGGTCAGGTTTGACAAGCAGGACTTCCCCCTCATGAACCCATGCTGCCTGTGACTAATGACTGCAATGATTTGCTAGCTGTTTTATAAAATCAGTTTCTTTCAGCTTTATTTTTGAAGACAAGACTGTCCTTTTCCAGGACAGGTGGAAGAAGGTTCAAGTGGAGGATGCTACCCATTGTTACCTCTGAGTCGCTGAGAGGGGCGGGATGTCACAGCTTTGTCCTTGGCATTTCATGTTGTCTAACACAGTGGGTCACATCCTTGGCAGGCAGATTCATGGGTGTCATTCAGAAGTGCCTAAATCTGCTTGTTTTGTGCACAAAGAAAGAAGAACCAATGAACTCTGTGTTCTCTGAAAGCTGGACCACCTGGTCAGTGGTCAGTGCTGTGGTAGTTAAGTCAGTGTTTTAGCATTCTATGTATGTGTGAGTCTTGTCTCTAAAACAGTATTTTGAATTCAAATAAGTCTTAAAGACAATATTCTAAATTTAAATCGTAATCAAGGAGTCTCTTTTTCTTTGGATCACTGAAAAAATTAACATGCTTTCCTGCGATTTGTGAGAAGCTGTTACATGTACTTTTCAGAGAATTATTGATTTTTAAACTCTTCAATGATAATTTGCAATCAGAATACTTCTAATATAAAAAGTCAGTGGTAATAACAAATTATTTTATATATTTGTTAACACACACAAGCATTTTATTTTGATATCAACAGAGATATGCTTGATGTTAATGTAAAAGGTTAAAATAAACATAATTGAAGAAGCTTCTGCCATTCAGAAAATCTAAAAGAATAACAGTGTTTCAGAGTATTCCACTGGGTAGCTGTGTATACTGTATGAAGCTGGCAGAAAATTTCAAAGGACTAATAAAAATTATATTAGATATACTGTAAATTATGATGAAGACAAGCAGAGAAGAGATGAATTTCTTCACTCAGCTTAAATCCTAAAATTTGAACCTTAAATCCTAAGAAAATATTTTCTAAGAAATGTGGTGTTTCTTGGCAATGAATCAATATTATATCCTAGGATTTTTTTTTTTCTATTTTTTTTTTTTTTTTTTCCAGGCCAAGTTGAATTAAATATATTAAATGGGAATAAGGAGAGAAAACTATTGATGTGCCTTTAAAATATCCTGTTTTCCCCCTCATGAAAGCATAAGCCAGAGGTGAGGCATCACTTGAATGGGCCAAAATAAAAATTCAGGATATCTCCTCACAGCCTTTATCTCTCTGTTCTTCCACATGCAGAGAAAGCCCACTTTACCACCATATCTGCTGTAATTTGTAGGGAGATAATTTTAGAGGCTCATATAAATCATGAAAGCAATGTCCTCACAAACAGTGCTTGCAAAGGCACCGGGAACACACCCAACTGAGAACAATTACCTTACAGGCATGCCATGGGCTTTGTTTTTTCAAACCTTTCCCCAGTAAGTGATAAGTGCAAAGTGAATTAATCTCTCTTTTGTCTTCCCAGTAAGTATCAATTAGTGTAAAATAAGGTCCTCTGTCTTCCAGCTCGTAATTGTTGCTTCTTGCTTGATTTGTCTTCTCTGACAATTGATACTCAAAATGCTCTTGAAGCCTTTGTGTGCATTCTGTGTGGAACGTGCTTTGCTTCTTTCAGAATGGAAGGCCGCCTGTTTCTGTAAGACAGCACTACACTTTAAATCTTGCCTGTAACAGGATGTAAGACGTCAGTAGGGCTAGAGGCTAAGCAAAGACGAGCAACAGGAAAGGAAAAAGCGCACTGGAAAACTTGAATTCTGTAGAGTCTGATGTTAAACTGGCTTCTCATAACACCACGTGCAGTCCTGGAAATCCCTCAAATACTGCAGAGGCTGAACCTCATTTTGTGTTCCTGAATAGTAGGAACAATCGCCTTGAGATGCAATACGAGTTCTTCAAGTTCAACTTTAGCCACAAAAGGCTTGACCAAAAGGTTTAGATATTTGATCACAGAATCACAACTCCTTTCCAGAATATAAAGTTCCATACTTCTGTTTGGCTGCCATGTGTCACTAGATGCTGAACATTTTATATTTACAGTGTTCACCGGAATAGGCAGTGATATTAAAGTTCATCTCAGGAAGAAAAGCTTCTTAATTGCTGAATTGGGAATTTTCATTGATCCTTTGCTCTGGCTAAGTAAATGGTTAATTATCCACAGCTAAGTGGACCAGCTTCCAAAAAGAGAGTTCTTTCACAGTCTTCTTTTCTCCCAGTCTCCCCTGAACTATTATCTGTGGTTTAAGCACTCTGCTAAAAATTGTGCTTAGGTCCTTTTGATCTCATGAGAGATGAGAGCTCAGGCATTCCATCTTCTTTGCAGGTTGTCTTGTTCTTGACATATTAGGACACATGAGAGAGAAGGCCTAGGAGCAGCAGCAGCAGCAGTGATTGATGAAGTGACATGGAGATGATCACCCAGCAGTGGAAGGAGTTGTGTCTACGATTTCAAACTGAGGGACACATCTTCCTCAGGTACTGGGTAAGGGAACTTATATCCAAAGGATAAATTCTGATTTTGGTGCTCAAATTCACTTTAACACTTGCAAATGCCTACTTTAAAGAAACCTTGGGGTTTGAACTCAACCCACACAGTGCTCTATAGATGACTGTTGCGAGATAATGACATTGTCTAAATAGAGTGTCTTAAGCAGAATGCTGGTGTAATCTCAGTTTAGATTTATGACAGAAAGCAGAGCACTACTCTTACTCAGGTTGTTTACTTGCATTCGTCCTTGTCATACCTTTGACAGATGTTTGAGTTTGCATCTTACAATTATTGCATCTCTATAAAACACAAAAGAAAGACACTTATACTTCACTTATTTTTTCCTAAATGTCCTGGTTTTAGCTGGGATAGAAGTAATTTTCTTCTTAGTAGCTGGCACAGTCTTGTGTTTTGGATTTAATGCAAGGATACTGTTGATAACACAGTGACATTTTGTTTTTTGTTAAGTAGCGCTTACCCTAAATCAAAGATTTTTCAGTGTCTCATGCTCTTGCAGTGAGGGGGTGCACAAGAAGCAGGGAGGGTTCATGGCCAGGAGAGCTGACCCAAATGATCCAAATGGACATTCCATACAACAATACATCATTTTCTGTATATGAACTGGGAGGAGTTGGTTGGGAGGGGATAATCACTGCTTGGAGATGGGCTGAGCATTGATGAGTGAGTGGTGAGAACTTGTATTGTTCACCACTTCATTTTCCTGTGTTGTGTTCCTCTCTCTCTTTCTCCTTTACTACTACTACTACTATTATTATTATTATTATTATTATTATTATTATTATTATTATTATTATTATTATTATTTACTGCTGCTGCTGCTGCTGCTACTGCTATTTTTCATTTTGTTTCAATTATTAAACTGTTCTTATCTTGACCCAAAAATTTATATTTTTTTCCAATTATCCTCTGCATTCCAGCAGGGGTAGGGAGTGAGTGAGTGGCTCTGTGATACTTAGTTGCCAGCTGGGGTTAAACCATGACACTCAGAAAGCAGAACTGTCTTGGGATGATGCTTTTTTGACCTGTGGCTTGCTAGTTCATGGGCTGAGAAAAAGGTGAACTACTGTAGCCTTGTTCCCACACTAATCCATTTTGAACAATGAACCTGGTGAGGTGAGACGTTGAAGGAGGGAAAGAGTTGTCCTGGTTAATTTTTCTTGGAGAAATATACCTGCTCAGCTTATTTCTTTGCAGCAAGTACAAGAGACAACATATGAACAGATAAAAATCTTTCTTGGTGCCACATGGCATAGGATTTCACTGTAACATGGTGCATTATTGCATTCTGAGAGCAGTATTTTTATTGTGAATATGTGCAAGCATGCAGAGACTCTGCTCAGTGAGTTATTAAGCCTCTTTATCAAATGCATAACAGAATCAGCAAGCTACACAAATTAGATGTCTGAGTCATAGTTTTCACATTTGCATAGGAGGGATAATAGTACTACTTACGACAGGATGAAAGGTCGCAAGTATGTCCCGTATTTATTCATGTATTTTTAAGTAACATAAAATCTAAAATTTGAAATAAACCTTTATTTCTGATTGTTCTGATTTATGTTCTCTTCCTTCCTTTTCTATTTTCTTTTTAGTTGCAAGCAGTCTGCAGTTACTAAAAAGAGAGCATAGGAGATGATTCATTTCCAAATAAGCACAATAGGAGAAAGAAATCAACTTGAAGTGAAGCTTTCACACTTATCTGTATAATAAGCACTTCAAGTTTCTCATCAATTAGTGATTGCAAAAACTAATTTGCTGTAGGATATGACATATAGGAAAATGACCTTTAATTTGTCACTAAGATTCTGATTGCTGACAGGCACTGGCAATAGAAAGGTGTCTTGTTGGAGTACAATGACATTTGAAGGGATGGAAAAAAAATAGTCCTCGCACCCCCACCCTGTTAGATTGTGGGTTTTATTAAAATAAAAATTATTGTTTATTGAAATTTCTATAATTTTAAACTAGTTTACAATATCTTTTCTCTCTTTAATTTCTCCCTTCTATGAAACATCTGTAGTCTATTAGGTTAAGATCTCTTGTAACCTATGATGTGTGACTTTGTTGTCTTTGCCTGCAAGAATAAACAGAGTGAAGAAGCTTGTGCATTTTTTGCCTGAGGTAAATGGGAGCACATATGGGGAATGCAGTGGAAAGTTGTGTGATGGATGACTGTAAACATGGATATTGTAGCTGCATAATTATCTTTTAATGTTTTATATACTTGAAATGATATGCTTGAAATGATAGAGTAGTAGCCTTATTCTTTTCTGGTTTGGATATGCCACCCTTAGCATCACATTCAAAACTTCTCCTTTTCTTTTTGTACCAAAAATAATTTAATCATAAAGAAAACAATGGGACTAATTTGTCTTGGACATTACTGGAGTAAGGTATAATTCTTTTGAAACCAGTGGAGTTTAACAGGGCAACAGGAACTTGAGGAAAGCCTTGCTGGTTATCATTACCCAGGGGAACAGGATCTGTCTGCTCTCTTGATTTATTTAGAATGCAAGTTCTGTGAGGTGGGAAAGATCTTCCTTTTCCTATCAGTAAATATTTAGAGTGCCAGGGAGAAGAGTCATGGCAAAGGAGGTCACATGGAAAATAAGGAAGTAATTGATGACAGCCAACATGGCTTCACTAAAGGCAAATCATGGCTGAAAAATTTGGTGGCCTTCTACTGTGAAGTTACAGGAGGGGTAGAAGAGAGAGGCCCAGCTGACATCATCTACCTGGACTTGTGCAAAGCATTTGACACTGTCCTAGAGGCATCGTTGTCTAAAGTGGAGAGACATGGATTTGAGAGATCAGCTATTTGGTGGGTAATAAATTGGCTGGATGGCCACAGCCAGGGAGTTGCAGTCCACGTCTCAATGTCCAAGTGAAAAGCAGGGACACATGACATTCCTCAGGGGTTGGTATTGGAACCAGCACTTTTTAACGCCTTTGTCAACAACATGGACAGTGGGATCAAATGCAGTCTTGGCAAGTTTGCCAATGACACGGAACTGTGTGGTGTTGTCATCACACTGGAGGGGAGAGATGGCATCTGGAGGGTTCTTGGCAGGTTTGAGAGGTGGGTCAGTGCAATCTTCATGAAGTTCAGCCAGGTGAAGTGTAAGGCCCTGCACCTGGGTCGGGGCAATCCCAAGCAAAGTAGAGACTGCGTGTAGAAAGGATCAAGACTAGCCCTGGGCACAAGGACTTGGGGAGGTTTGTGAACAAAAAACACAGTGTGCACTTGCAGCCCAGAAAGCCAAGCACGTCCTGCACTGCTTCTAAAACAACGTGGCCAGCAGGGTGAGGGAGGTGATTCTCCTGCTCTACTCTGCTCTTGTGAGAGTGTCCACCTGGAGTGCTGCATCCAGCTTTGGGGCCCCCAATACAAGAAAGACCTTGAGCTGTTGGAATGAGTCCAGAGGAGGACCATGAAGATGATAAGAGGGCTGGAGTAGTTCTCCTATAAAGAAAGGCTGAGAGAATTGAGGTTGTTCAACTTAGAGAAGAGAAGGCTCTGTGGACACCTCATACCAACCTTCCAGTACCTAAAGGAGACCTATAAGAGAGATGGAAAGGGACTTTGCACAAGAGCATGTTGTGGTAGGACAAGGAACAATGGCCTTTAGCTGAAGGAGTTGGTTTAGGCTAGACAGTAGGAAGAAATTCTTTACTGTAAGGGTGGTGAGACACTGGAACAGGTTGTCCAGAGAAGTTGTGGATGCCCCATCCCTGCAAGTGTTCAAGGCCAGGCTGAATGAAGCTTCGAGCAAACTGGTCTAGTGAAAGGCATCCCTGTCCACGGTGAGGGGGCTGGAACTTCCAATCCTAACCATTCTGTGATTCTATGATTCTATGTTCCCAGAGCTGTGGCCTCACAGAACTGGCCTGCCTGAGGCCACAGCACTTCATGCTGCATCCACATCATGACCCATAGTGGGAGGCTATACAATAGCCATAGTCGCTGGTATAGCTGCTGGACAGGGATAGCAAATGATGCAGGAAGTGGAGGAGAGAAGCAATGGATGTCGCTTTTTGGCAGAATTTACTGCAGAGGTGCTTCAAAAAGAGCTTGGGGCATTTGTATTACTAAACAGTCAGCTGTGCTAATAGGAAAGGATAGTAAATTCCTGACTTGAATTTTCGTTAATGTTTCAGTGAATCTGAAGCAAAAGGAAGTTTTCGCCTTCTGGAATTAACTGCTACTGAATTCCCTTTGCTTTATTTCAAAGTAATATGCTGACATTTCTCACATCCTGCTGAAGTGTTTATATACTGTCAGATAATTTCTTGGTTCTCTCTTGGAAGCTAGTACAGTTTACTGAGGAGCTGAAGCCTTCATTACATCTTTTATGTGTCTCAGAAGGGTATTACAAAGTTCAATTAACATTTGAGAAGTATTCTGCAATCCTCAGATGACATGTACAGTGGAAGCATACAAAATGGTTATTATCCATTAAATGCATGATTTTTGAAGTGTATCTTTCTTCCATCAAGTTACTCCTAGGCTGAAGTGTTCTCTTCTTGGTAAGACCACTTGAACTTGTGCAGCAGTACTGGCCAAATATAGCATTAGGGGGTGTGAGATTTCGCTGCTCACTGAAATTGCTTACAATTGATGGAATAGTCACAAATGGCTCAAGACTTCATTTATATAAAACTCTTAACAATTCTCAGTCCCACATCTTGTAAGGACCTATGAAGTCATTGTGAAAATAAGCACAAAAGAAAGGAAGTTTAGGAGGCAGGAACCAGGATCCCGCTATTGTGAGTGCTTCACCTGCCAGGCAACAATTACCTTTGCAGTCCTCACACCATTTCTGAAGTTGAGTAAGCAGAGTAATTAGAACATGAATTCAGAGTTCAGACTGTCCTTGTAAGTTTGTGCCTGTATATGGCAGACTGTGGGAGTGTGGGTTGCCAAAACCTTGACATTTCATTAGTCCTAGAATGAATCATTTGCACAGCAGAAA